AGGCGGGGTATAAATAAATAAATAAATAAATAAATAAATAAATAAATAAATAAATAAATAAATAAATAAATAAATAAATAAATGTCGTCCATACCCATTAACAGGATCCACGACAATTCCTCGAGGATGGGACATGTCTCCTTCTAAAAGAGTCTTCCGACTTTGAGTGGCTTTCTCTAGTCTGGCAACATTGATGGTTTTCCTGTAGCCATCATTTGTCCAAAACAGATTATTTCCAAGCCAGTCCACGGCAATACCTTCCACATTATCGAGATCTGTTTCAACAAACATCATATATTAACAGGATCCACGACAATTCCTCGAGGATGGGACATGTCTCCTTCTAAAAGAGTCTTCCGACTTTGAGTGGCTTTCTCTAGTCTGGCAACATTGATGGTTTTCCTGTAGCCATCATTTGTCCAAAACAGATTATTTCCAAGCCAGTCCACGGCAATACCTTCCACATTATCGAGATCTGTTTCAACAAACATCATATAAATTATCGATTATTTGTGTTCTTATTTATTACATTCTAGCCTATTTTAGTTATCATCTTCCATGGGCCAAATGTGATTAAAGTTACATGTTTATCCTGGAATGTGCTTATTTCTGGTTTTGGCTTCTAGCACCCAAAACTCCCCTAGCAAGATGGCTAGTAGAGATGGTGCCAGGGAATGTCTCGGAGCTATCGTTCAAAAGCACAATTATTCACGCTTCTAGTATATACTATTACCCCATATAGCTGCATATTCATCTTCAGGGCCACCATAAATACGTTTGCAAGCATGACAATGTACTCTTAGATGTTACACACAGAAACCCCAAAGTCAAAAGTAGCTTTTTGTGAATATACTATAAAAACTACTGTATGACAACAAAGCAAATGATCAGTGTGGCATACTACTAGATTCCTTGGACATCTGTTTAGCCATAAAAGTTACAGGGCTTTCAAGAAATCACCACATCTCAGAATGATCTTCCCCACAGATTTCTTGTAAAGTAAAAATGCTACTCTAAGCTCCTTGAAAAGACAATGTATATGAACGTGATAACACAAATGTATACATGATCAAAGTAATAAGATGGTAGCTACTACAGTGGTGCCTTGCTTAACGATGTTAATTGGTTCCAAAAAAACATCGCTATGGGAAAACATCATTAAGCGAAACACCATTTCCCATAGGAATGCATTGAAAACCGGTTAATCCGTTCCAATGGGAACGGATTGCCGTCCTTAAGCGAAAATCCCCATAGGAAACATTGCTAAGTGAAACAATGTTTCCCCCAAGGGAAAGCCATTCAAAAGCACTGAAGCAGGCTTCAGTGCTTTTGAATGGCTTTCCGATGTCTGTTTTCGCTCATTTTTAAGTGTCTTAAAATGTGTGAAACCTGTTTTTGAATCCTGTTGCTTAGTATACTATGTTGCAACTGAACTCTAGGCCCACTAAATCTATGAATTCTATGGATCAGTTGACTCAGCACTGGGCATACTTCAATTGCAATGTACTATGCTAAGCAATATATTCCCCTTCACGGATTGTTGCCTTGTCGTGGCGAAGAGGCTTGAGTAATTCAGAGAAGCTGTATGCTATGCTGTGCAGGTACACCCAAGATGGACAGGTCATAGTAGAGAGTTCTAAAAGATATGACGCTGGAAGATGAGCCCCTCAGGTCGGAAGGTATGCAACATGCTACTGAGGAAGAGTGGAGGACAAGTACAAGTAGCTCTGGAGCTAATGAAGTGGTTGGGCCAAAGCCGAAAGGACGCTTGGCTGCAGACACACCTGGAAGTGAAAGGAAAGTCCGATGCTGCAAAGAAAAATACTGCATAGGAACCTGGAATGTAGGATCTATGAACCTTGGTAAGCTGGGTGTGGTCAAACAGCAGATGGCAAGAATAAATATTGACATCCTGGGTGTTAGTAAACTAAAATGGACGAGAATGGGTGAATTCAATTCAGACAATTATCATATCTACTATTGTGAGCAAGAATCGTGTAGAAAAAATGAAGTAGCCCTCATAGTCAAGAAAAGAGTGAGAAAAGCTGTACTGGGATACAGTCTCAAAAAGATAGGATGATTTCAATACGAATCCAAGGCAGACCTTTCAACATCACAGTAATCCAAGTTCATGCACCAACCACCCCTGCTGAAGAGGCTGAAATTGACCAATTCTATGAAAACTTACAAAACCTTCTAGAACTGACACCAAAAAAAGATGTTCTTCTCTTTCTAGGGGACTGGAATTCTAAAGTAGAGAGTCAAGAGATAAAAGGGACAACAGGTAAGTTTGGCCTTGGAGTTCAAAACGAAGCAGGGCAAAGGTTCATAGAGTTTTGTCAAGAGAACAAGCTGGCCATCACAAACACTCTTTTCCAACAACGTAAGAGGCGACTCTAAACGTGGATATCACCAGATGGGCAATACCAAAATCAGATTGATTATATTCTTTGCAGCCAAAGATGGAGAAGCTCTATAAAGTCAGCAAAAACTAGACCTGGGGCTGATTATGGCTCTGATCATCAGCTCCTTTTTATAGCAAAATTCAAGTTTAACTGAAGAAAGTAGGAAAAACCACTATGCTAGTCAGGTATAACCTACACCAAATATCTTATGAATACACAGTGGAAGTGAAGAACAAATTTAAGGAAGTCGATTTGGTGGACAGAGTGCCTGAAGAACTATGGATGGAGGCTCGTAACACTGTACAGGAGGCAGCAACAAAAACCATCCCAAAGGAAAAGGAAATGCAAGAAAGCAAAGTGACCATCCAACGAGGCCTTAAAAATAGCATAGAGGACAAGGGAAACAATATGCAAGGGAAAGTCACAGAAAACTGAATGCTTAGTGAGGAGAGACAAGAGGGCCTTCTTAAATGAACAGTGCAAAGAAATGGAGGAAAATAATAGAAAGAAAAAAACCAGAGATCTGTTCAACAAAATTGGAGACATTAAAGGAACATTTTGTGCAAATATGGACTGAGAACTTCAAGAAGTAAAAGCTGGATTTCGAAGGGGCAGAGTAATTAGAGACCAAAATGCTAACATGCGCTGGATTATGGAGAAAGCCACAGAGTTCCATAAAAACATCTGCTTCATTGACTACGCAAAAGCTTTTGACTGTGTGGACCACAGCAAACTATGGCAAGTTCTTAAAGAAATGGGGGCGCCTGACCACCTTTATCTCCTGATAAATCTATATGTGGGACAGGAAGCAACAGTTAGAACTCAATGTGGAACAACTGATTGGTTCAACATTGGGAAAGGAGTATGACGAAGCTATATATTGTCCCCTTGCTTATTTAACTTATATGCAGAATACATCAAGCGAAAGGCTGGAATGGAGGAATTCCAAGTTGGAATTAAGATTGCAGGAAGAAATACCAACCATCTCAGATACACAGATGATGCCATTCTGATGGCAAAAAGTGAGAAGGAGTTAAAGAACCTCATAATGAGGGTGAAAGAGGAGAGTGCAAAAAAAAGGTCTGAAGCTCAACGTCAAAAAAACTAAGATCACGGCCACTCACCCCATAACCTCCTGGCAAAGAGAAGGGGAAGATATGGAGGAAGTGACAAATTTTACTTTCTTGGGCTCCGTGATCACTGCAAATGGTGACAGCAGCCACAAAATTAAAAGACGCCTTCTTCTTGGGAGGAAAGTGATGACAAACCTGCCCAGCGAGGGGCCTTTGAACATCCTGGTGATCAAGGGTAGAGGGAGATATGGGGTTGGCAGAGTCCCTACTCGTTTCAGAACAATGATGAACAGATGTTTGATGGCTGTTCATTGTTCTGAGACTGTGATCAACCCACAGTATTGAGGTGGCCAGCCCAACCAGCCCTCCACTCTAAATCTGATACTGTTGAACGCCAGGTCTGTATCCAACAAACCCCAGGTGATCCATGATCTTATCCTGGAGGAGGATGCAGACCTAGCATTCATAACCGAGATGTGGATTAGTGGGGAGGGGGGCCCTCCCCGCCCGGTTATGCTGCCCTGCACCAGGGTAGCTTCTTCATGGATTGCTGCCTTGTCGTGGCGAAGGGGCTTGAGTAACTCAGAGAAACTATGGGCTATGCCGTGCAGGGACACCCAAGACGGACAGGACATAGTGGAGAGTTCCGACTAA